ATACATACATACATACATACATACATATGTATATACATACATACATACATACATACATATGTACATGCATACATACATACATACATACATACTTACATACTTACATACTTACATACTTACATACATACTTACATACTTACATACTTACATACTTACATACCCATACATACACATACATACATACATACTTACATACTTACATACCCATACATACACATACATACATACATACATACATACATACATACATACATACATACATACATACACACACACACACTGAAAGTTAGGATTGGTTTGATTTATGCGAAGACCAGCCCTGATGACCAAGGTATAGTGCCTCCTCATCAGGAACTTTTGACTTGTGAGCTCATGTTGGAAAATGGCAAAGGCGGACAGCTTGAAGTAACCCAACTAAAACCCAGCTAAACCACACCTGCCTGACTGAACCTCTCAAGGACAGCCACAAACAATGGCATGTCGGTCGAAACAGGAAGTTTTCGTATGGGGCTCAATCTCTGACAGTGGAAATTGGGGTCCTCGGTTTAGCCTTTTGCCATGCCCAGTGAAAACCAAGCATCCAAGTAGAATGTCCAGAACAACCAGTGTACAGCGACTTCTGTAGACTATGCCACAAGCAATATGCAGGTACGTGGTCGATGCGTCCCCCGGCCATATCCTGATGTGTGATAGGAGCTTCGTTGCACCAGGCGAAACCACACATCCCTGGTGCCCCTGCTGTCAAAATGATAAAAGGACTGTCAAGTGAGGACCCTTGGATGCAGGGTTTGCGCACACACACACACGCACGTGGAAGAAGGAACGACGAACACCAACCTCGAACCCCCAACCAGAAGAACGGAAGGCTGGCTGCAGGTTAAAGACGGGTTAAAGACGGATTAAAACAGTCAGTCCTTGGGAAAGAAGTCGTAGCCACGCTTTTTTGGGCGGCCTCACTGGCGTGATCTGGGTGAGCTTGATTCAACTCAATACAGGCTTTTCGAAAGGGAGGTGTAGCCAGAGGCCAAAGGAATGGGATGACAGGTGTCCAAAAAGGACTCTTCGGTCGGAAAGCGCACGGCAACGGCAGGTAGCGCATGCGATCTCCGAAGCTGCCCGCTCCCTCAGGCAATGCTTTTGCCGGCGTTTCGGATGGCGACTATGCCTTGCAACCATGAAGCCGTGGACGCCTTGTCTGCTTCTGTTGAGGTGGTCGGTTCTTACTCCCATTAGCTGCAAGTCTACATGTCCGAGGTGGAATTGTGAGTGTGCTTCAGGCAGATGATGAAACACGAGGCTCTGCAAGGACAAGGATGCGAACTTCAACCAGGCGCATGACATGAAGAAGACAAGCAAGAGTCCTGCTATCAGAACTTGTCAAGTTCATTGCATGCGATGGTCCCAGCTAGCTGCTAGCGCGGGCTCTTCTTGAAAGGCCATCCAAAAGTTCGAGACCAAAAAGAGATCGGTACCATGCTCAGGATGCAGCATGTTGAGAGCAGACCCGGCGTGCTCAGAGCGGCCCGGCCCCTGGCTCGGGCCCTTGTGGCTTTTTTCTGAGGTCCAGAGCAGGAGATCCCCGCAGAGCTTGAGTGACATGCGGCACTGCAGCATACGACGCAGGGCTACTGAGTGCGGCTGCTGTACCCGAGAGGTCCCGATGTTGGTCGACAGAGAAGTTGCAGAAGGGAGTTCCTGCAAGAGCAGATCTCCACGTGTCGTGGCCATGTAGGAAGCTCTTTCTGACATGAGAGCCAGAGTGCCTGCACGGAGCGTTGATGCCATGTCAAAGAAGCGGACGTGAGCTGTGACTTCGCATCGCCGAGATCTGCAACACATGCCAGCCGCACGGCCAGCTGCAGCAAGGGGCTCAAACCTGCTCCAGGCACAGCCCATGGCCAAGATCCCTGGTGCACGCGGCTACCAGATGAAAGCAGGTCCATGAGTGGTCCGATGCTGAAGTAGCCAGGATGCAGGGAATGAGCGAAGAGGCGATTCGTGAAGCCGTGCTCTTGGAGACACTTTCACGGCTTCTTCGCGAAAAGATTGGTGCCGATGGCGCTTCCCCTGTACCTCCGTGGCGAAGACCTCAAGCAGAAGCCGGAGCCCTTTCCGTCACTTCTGCCAACGGCCCAGCAGTACCACCAGAAGAGCCTGCAGCTACACCGGTGACTGCAGCAGACGTGATAGGTGCTACATCAGAGATCAAAAGAGAGGCTCCCTTGGAGAAGTTCATCAGAGTATTTCGGCTCGATGAACTGGCGGCGAAGTGCCTGTTGAAGCTCCAAGACGACGAAGCTGCCTTCGTGATCGAGCTCCCCGACAAAATTGATATGGGACTAGTTAACTAGTTCTGTTGCAAACTTTGTCCGTGTGTCGCTGCTGTAGCTGCCTCTCTCTCCCTCTTTGTCTCTCTCTTGGCGGGCGCTCGCTGGCTCCCTTTCGCCGTCCCTCTCTCTCCTGCTGGGGAGCCTGCTTGGACGTTGATGTTGAGATGTGACGATGAACACAGCTTTGCTCTGCCATGACAATGTTCGTAGTCGTGCTTCTATGTGGGGTCTCCTCATGCTTGACATGTCCTCGAATGCTCTGTTCATGTGCACTTCCAATGTGCCAGAGGCAGTCAAGTCTCTCGGATCTTGTACGTTTTGTAAGAACGGCTACTGAAGCATCGTGAGCGACTGGCTCTGGTCGGCTCGCCGTGCGATACTGAACCATTTGTAGGCTTGCACTGCGCCAATTCAGCGCCGCATGACAACAAGCTCCGCTGCAGGCCGGCCTCAAGCAAACTGCATCTGATCTCATGCAACCAGCGCTTTGCTGGTAAAAGTGCAATGCGGCGACTGCCGCGACTTGCTGGCCGATGCCGACCCCTGCATCGAGCTTTCCTCTTGCACAAGCTGAAAACCCCGTCCTACGTTGGCATCGCATCAGGGTTCGAGATCGGAGAATTCGGAAGTGCTCGAAGGACGCAGGATTGTACGGCGTGTCAGTTGCACGCGCTGATGAAGCGACTTCCAGATGGCCAGACATCCGTGGGACCGCTGCTGGATACGGCACCGGTGACGGCGGGACAAGCTGCATTGGGTTCGCTGGTTGCGAGTCCTCCGAGAAGAATCCGTGATGATGTCAGTACAAGCGAATCTCGATTTTCGCCAACAGCATTGTGACGCTGCACAGCACAGGCCGCTCGGACACAGCCTCCTTCGAGAAACTTCTCCGCGTGTCCTCCTGCTTCGCCGACGAAGAGGATGCAACTTCCTGGACTAGGTTTTGGCGCATATGCCAACGTGCGGAATGCTTTACCGCCCTCATCCGCCCTCCACTCCCTTTCTTCAGACTTTGCCACGTTTCCTGTGTCGGTGTCACATTCTGTGCACTCGGGTATGATACTTGGGATGCTTATAAGTTCGTTTATGCCACGAGGCCTCAGCCTTTCGATACAGAGGCTTCAAGGAAAGGTGGATGAGATCGAAGCTCTTCCGAGGGCCCAAAATTCCGACTTCTTGGTGCGAGTAGCGGCACTGCAGACTCCAAGAGCTGGATGAGCGAAGTAGGGCCGATGCTCATGTAAACTCATGGTCCACAATCCGCCGCCATGCTTGCACCAGCCGTACCAAACAAATCCAAACTGCAACGCTAAATGAGACTGTGTCGGTCCGTGGATAAGGGAGGGATAGCAGCTCGATCGACTGACTGCCTCAGCTCAATGCTTATGTGGGGGCATCGGAGATGGAGCGAGTGCCTTACGCCTTTCGCCTCGCGCCCGTGTAGCGGACGGTCATGAAGTATCTGGGTCAGAGCCCACCCACCGCTCAAACCAAGCCTCGGCAGCTTCGAGATAGCTTTGCGCATGCGACTGACCGTGAAGACGATTACGATGATGATAATGATGATGGTGATGACGACGAGGATGATGAATGATGCATGGTAAATGACGAGCCGGTATTCACTAGTCGAGGTGAGGAGTGGTGTGAATACTGAATTATGATGGTTAACATTGCGTTGAGAATCTTGATGATGATTTGATGATGATGATGATGATGATGTTGTTGATGTTGACTTTGATGTTGATGTTGATGTTGTTGTTGTTGTTGATGATGATGATGATGTTGTCGGCGATGGCGACGACGATGATGATGGTGCTGCTGCTTCTGATGGTGTTGATGGCTGTTGATGATGATGCTGCTGCTGCTGATGGTGATGATGACGACGGTAAGGTTGTTTGGTTGTGATGGTGATGGTGATCGTGCTCGCGTCGATGATGGTGACGACGACGATGACGATGGCGATTGCGATGTGGACGATGATGATGATGATGATGACGATGATGATGATGATGGAGAGGGAAGGACCATGACAAGCGAAGAACAAAGCCTGGCACAACAAGCGCAATCGCACATCACACGTATGTTCATTTTTACTTCGTACGGCGACGACAGTTCAGCCTGCTTTGAAGGGACTCCAATGGAATCGCTCTACTTTCTGCTTGACGTATCTTGACGTGGTGGGTACGGTACGTGCCGGCCGATACCGGCGGGGCTCTGTGGCATGGTTTTCGTTTTGCAGACATTCGTCCACACCAGCTCAAGCAGCCGAGGTCCATCCAGCATCGTCTGAAGTATGCGAAAAACCCCTCGGCAGTGGTGATGATCGCCATCAGAGGCGTTGCGGCCAAAGTCGGCCGAAGATACTACGGCAGCCGTGAGACGGCAGAGGGTGGAGAATCTCATGAAGGTGCTGGCGAGCTCAAGATGCGCTCGCCCCATTGTTTTCGCTTCTGTGCGTCTGGGCTGAGCTGCACTGAGCTTGGCCCGCAAGGATCGGTGGCTCGCCGGAAGATGAGACTGAGACCGCGGTGCGCTCCTCATTTCGCCAGGTCCATGCTATGGGGACCTGATGGCAACTCAGGCTCAAACAGATCCTTATCTTGCCGGAGTCAATGACGACGAAGAGGAGGACGAGGAAGAAGAGGAGCAGGTCGTAGATGAGGAGGTAGGGCTACGAGCTTTGGAAGAACAAGAAGATTGTGTGGTCCGATGGGGGCAGGTGGAGCCTGCGTCACGCCAAGGTGGGGAACCCCACAGGGCATCTCTCACCTCTCGATGATTGCGTCCGCGTTTGACAGGTGCCTCGGAGCCTCCGCTCAAGAAGCCAAGGGCGGATGTCCCCGAGGATCGCTTGACCGTTGAGGCAGGCCGCTATTTCTGGGTTTGGGCCGCTGGTTGATAATTGCATCCGCCGTGTGAACAGGTTTGGCCGAAAGCATCGCCGGATGAGGAGCATGTAACCGCGGGTGACTTGTCCGTGGTCGGGGCCCAAAGCAGGATCCGGAGCCTGACGACGCCGAGTTGTTCTTTGTGGACACGGGCATACAGCAATGAGCTCTGCAATCCCATCAAAGCCGGTGAGAGAGGAGACCAGCCATAAGAGCTTGAGGCAAGGCACTACAGGCCTCTTGGCCTCAGGGTCTGCTCCGATTCGGATCTCCTCAGAGACCAAGCGACTTTCGCAGTTCAAAGTAACTGGTGAGCTTCCATCGTCGGGAGTGAATGCAAGAGAGACTGTTGTAGATGCTACATAGCTGCTGACCAAGCTCTACATGTTCATGTCTATGCTGACATGTGTCAGCTATGTTGGGTCTTCATATTATCTCTTCATGATGCCAGGCGTTTTGGTTCAAGACCTTTTCAGAGTGGCACATCAAGTGCCACAAAAATGCAAGTGCAAAGGCATCGCTTGCCGCACTCTTCGCGAGTTGAGCTCAAGCAGCTTCCGAAGTCTTTTCAGACATGGATGGCCTTGATCTCAGTTACTCAGTCTGCTTGACACCGATGCATCTTCGGCCGGAGGTTCCGCAAACTGACACAGTAGCCTACAGCCGCCCTTTTCATTGTTTTGCTTCGGATTGCGGGCCGTGGCGGTAATGTGAAGGCCGTAAAGGGTGGGATGATTATACACCTCATCCTCCGAGGGATTGCGGGTGATTTGTGACTGCGCAGTCAGATATGCCTATCTTACAGGATTCAGTTCCTCTGTGCTGTTGTTCCGTGCAGGTTAGTGTAGACATGTGCTCAATGGCCAAGGTATCCTGGCCTCAGCATTTCACCCCAGACGTCGTACATCTGCCTTGCAGCTAGGTCGCAAGTTGTTGACGCCTATGCTGATTCATGCTTGGCTCAAGGTGTCTTTGCTTTCTGAGGTGACGTAATTCTTCAGCAGAAGCGGTGCCTGAAGGCCATGCCTGGTGATCTAGCTGGCCAACAGATCTAGGGCTCCGGCTCCAGTCTTGACAATGTGGGAGGCGCATCCATTGCCAGGAAGGCCCGTCTCTTCGCCGCAGGCCGCGCATTCGAAGGAGTTCAAGCTTCAAAGTGCAATGTGGCTCAGCGTCTGGTTGCGAGTGCATGAGAGGTGATACTGTGGCATTGCAAGCATCCGCATGGCCTGTTCTCGATGTTCTCCTTAGCGCTTGGACACATGGAGACGTGCGAGAAGAGGGGCGCTGCCCTGCTGGTGGATTGGTCGCTTGCTTTGAAGGAGGACAAGAGACTGGCAAACCGCTGGCCGCAGCTCAGCAGCTCAGGTCTTCGGAAGAGTTGCTCTACCGAGGCCCTCCTGGAGAGCCCAACGTACTTGCCCTACAGTCAGACACAAGAGTTCCACGCGCCTTCCTTGATAGACTCCAGCTCATCAAGCAAGACCGTCGCCGTAAATCCTCCAGGAGCATATGGATTGTTGTTGCTATCTTGTTCGTCGTGGTCAGAAAGGGATCGGTGTGTTTTTGCCAAGTTCTCCAGTGCCGTATCTTGCAACGCCCCCGGGGGGGGGGGTTCGGCCGCCTCTTGGTCCCAAAAAGACAGCCAAAGGTAGCCAGGCGACTTCGATCCGTAAAAAATAAGACTGACTCTCTGGGATTTCTAGCAGGCGACAAACCCCCCAATGAAACGCACATGAGCACACCACACCGAGCAATAACCGAAACAACTGCACAGAAACCGCCAAGGACGAGTGTTGCCCATCTTGTAATCCTGTGTTTTTCCTAACCGTTTTTCCTGTCAGCTCTCAGTTCGGTCCTTCTGCCCAAGCAGCATCGAACCCTCTGTCTCAGGTGCAGCAAAAGCAGTCCTATCTTAGCCAAGCGTGCGTCCACTGCATACTTTGCCGAATCAAGAAGCATCGCATAGACAAGGATCGCAAGAAACTGTTCCTTCCCTGACGTGAGTGTGAAGCGCGCCCCTAGCTTCCCTGAGGGAGCCTTGCCCGCAGCTCCTGCACGATAGCTATGCAGGTGGTACCCCTTATCTCCCCTTCGAGTGGCCCTCATGGTACCAGTATTATTATTATTATTCATTATCCTTTGTCTCGCCTCTGCGGTTCGAGCATAGACGCGGCTTCTGCTGAAGCGGTGCTCGGAGCGCAGTCTCAGACCCCGAGCTCTTCAACCGACTTTCTTCCCGGATCCATTCAGCCAGCGGTGACAGTCTTGGGAGCGGTGTGGATTTGTAAAGTTCCACAAGGCCGGATTAACCTATGATCCTGTCGATGTGACGCATACTGTTTTATTGTATGTCGCATGTCAAACTGGGTTGTCACCGAGGTTCATGCAAGTTGTAAGCTGCGTGACTGTCTGGAACTCACAGTTGCCAAGTTGTTTGCAGTCTGAGGTTTGGAACGCCTTCTTCTGCCAACCTGCAGAATTGAAGATGCCCCAAGAGGTGAACCGTTGAGAGAAGGTTGGGGCCCCTGTGAGCCTGTGGTCTCTGTGAGCCTGGGAGGCACTCCGCGCTGCCGTTGACAACGGACGGTGCCTCTGCGATGACCTCCGTGTGTGCTTGCGCCTTCATTCAAGCTTCTTCACCGACCAGGTACACAGAAACGAGCAGCCACAAAGTGGTCTACGGAAATTACCGGGGAGTTATCCAGGACGGAGTGATCGCCCCGTGTGCTTCGGGTCAGCTCCGTTTGTCCACGGCCCGCGATGCCAGCTTGATTTTGTGTTTCGCGGCCCGCAAGCCTGACCCCTTTAGTTGGAGACATCATGTAGGCGAGCATCAGTAACGGTTTCGGTTCTCGAGCGAACTGTTTCCGCTGTCGCGCGCTGCAGGGCTACGGAAGCATTCCAGCCCACCAGGCCGCACAAGGCCGTGCCTTGTGCAAGAGAAATATTGCATTGCGTCCAAAGTCGCTTGGTTTGCAAGCAGCTTCGCGATGATTTTATGGCGGTCTGCCGTGGGCCACAGTGTGCCACAGCCATCGCATTGCGCCCTGAGGTTTCAGCAAAAGTTGCAGACTGTCATAGACTCGCTGCCGTTTGGTCGTCTTTTGGCCGCCGGCTCCCCGTGCCTCCGAGAATCTCTGTGTCGCTCAACGCATCACATGAGGTCCACATACGCCGCAGCGACAAGGGCTGTGAGGCCAAAGCCAACTTCGAGCTTTCGGACGACCGTCTCCTGCAGCGCATCCTACACCAGCCGTCTTCCCAGCCCTCGTGTCTTCGCTTTGTGCCTCAGTCTTCCGCTTTCTGTTTCTTGCAGGTGCCAGGCTTGGGGAATGAACGGCGTCTTTCTGTGCACTGACGATGCATCTTTGAAGCAGCGCCTGACGAACGCCCTAGAGCGGACAGGTCAGGATCCGGGCCGTTTGTTTCTCTTGCAGTGTCCTCGCGGACCTGTGTTCAGAATATGCTTGCACAGGCTTGTCCGTCTCAACGTACGACGCAACTTTGCCCACAGATGGAACCAAGGCCACAGGACACTCATGAGTTGCAAGAGACCTCACAAGACTTCGCCGAGAATTCAGAATGAGAAGCCCGGTCCATTCTTGAGAGGTTAATACTACTAAGCCACTACTGGTGGTGCGTTCGTCTTTTTGTCTTTGCATGAATGTGTTGATCAGAGAAGTATCAACCTCTGCTTGAGGAAGCCGTGTCTCTAACAGACGCCAGAAAATACTTTGTGAAAACACTGCTTGCAATTGAAACTGGCCCCTAGGCCAGTGTCCCTGCACTCGCTTGACTTTCTCGAGGTGAACGTGGCTGCGAGCTACAAGCCTGTCAACTGAGATATATGTAGTCTTCCTTGAAGACTGCGTGAACACTTTCGACACTTTTGAGAAATATAAGGATCCCTGCTGTACAGGGCAGCAACGAAGCCGAAACGATGTCCATGCACAGCGTGCAATCACTGAAGCCACTCGCCGCACCAATCACCGTGCACTCTGTGGGAAATGGGAACATTCAACAACACGTAGATAATACGACCTCTGCGAGTACTAACTTGGGGATGGCTGCAAAGCCTGGTCAGATTGTGGCTCAAGGCAGGATCAGGTGGCTCGTGCCTTCGAGCCGAACTCCGAACACGATCGTCTTAGTGATGTTTCATATAACGTTGATCGAAAGCTCTGCATCGAGGAGTCTTAGCCTTGTGCAAACCAGGCTTTCGAGAAATTGCAACGTGCGTCTGCTGCTGCAGGGAGTCTGTGAAGACGCATGCCTTGATTTTCTTAGACATTGTCAGTCCAGGCAGGCCAAAGTTTGATTCAAGCTTCCGTGGGCCTCATGATGTGGGACGGGCAGGAGCGCAGCAACCACCCAATGACTCACACATACTCGTATTGTATCCAGGAATCCAAGCCATAGACCATCGCATGGGCAACTAGGCAAACACGCAGAGAAAGCCGCGAAGCTCCGACTCAAAATCGCAACAGAAAGGCAGACATGGCGAACCGAGAGAGTTGACCAAGAGGGCGATGAAAGAAATCTTTAGAAGTTGGGTGTTCTGCAAAGGCCCAACCATTGCAAACAGACTTCTGTGGCCTCTGCTTTGTTGCCCAGTGTGCGCGTGGTTTCAGCGCACATTGTATGGCCTCACCTCTTCTGTGCTATGTGCAATCGAAAGCGGAGTTGGAGGCAGTCCACTTCGACAAGACAGTGGATGCTTACAAGAAAGCAGAGGTCCGCTGTATGCTTCACCCAAGCGATCCAGTGCTTGACGCACAAGGACGTGGTGATGGAGGCACTTTTAATGGCGAAAGGCTGTCACGGCCTGCTGTCAACGCATTCGGCCCAGCGATGCTGGCAAGAGGCTCGTGACTCAAACTGCCTGTAATCGAGGTACTCCAACGTGTCAGCTGCCGTCGTTTACCTCAGCCACGACAAATACCCGCGCCCTGGGGGAAAGCCAGAGAAGCGAGTCTTTGTAGCAGGTGATAAGGAAGGAAGAGACTTGACAAGACTGGTAGATTCGGAATGCTCGAATGCCCCAACAACCGTGAACAGCAGATAGACCTCGCCACTACAGAAGCAACGTGGCCTGCCACCCGCTTCTTCGAAAGAAGCAAATTAGGAACCGCCACGGTGCGAGAGATGCGAGAGGTACACCACATTTTGGGATCCACTCGAGGCTTCATGATCGGCAAGAGCACAGGCCATTGACCACCAAGCGCACTCGGTGCATGCAGCTTGCGGGTTCGTTGCACCTGTGCACCTGCAGGACAGGAGTGGTGTCACGAGACCCAAATTTGAGCTTCTGTGCCAAGATGTGACTAGACAGATGAGGCGTTCGTGTTCTACTTGGGCCCAATGCAAGGTCTTGTTGCAGGCTATGTGTCCAGGGCAGCAATGTGCATGAGATATGGCAGGAATCCTCATCTCAAAGTAGCCTTCCGAGTGCAGATAACGCTTGTTTCTGTACAGTCTGTGCCGTTTCGGCTGTGTTGCCTCGCATGGGCATGAAGGCACGCTGACACGTCGAGTCGATTGGAGATAAGATGGCAGGTTTCATAGCCCAAAATCGTGGCATGCTAGAATGCACTACAGAGGAAGCTTACGCCGTGCATATCTTCAAGATCTGGAGGGAATCACTCGTCGTTTGCCTCAGAATTTTCCAATGCCGACTTCAGTCAGTAAAGTCGACCCAGGCATGTTGTACACTTCATGAAGCTAGACCACGGGTTAATTGCGAGTGTGGTTTATAATCCCAGATGGCCTGCTACTTTTCGAGGGGCGGCTAGACTTCGTGTCACCAGCCAGCTGATGCCAATTCGAAGTGGGTTTGCATACCGCGTGTTCCAGCCCATGCTTGCAACAAGTATTTATTGTCGCACACTGCCCAGATCAACAACAGCACGTGCTCTCAATGCGAGTCGTGCTTGATCGGGATGCCTTCGGCGAGCCCGGCATGCATGAGAGGCTTCACAGAAGATACGTGCAACTTTCATGCCCTTGCTGACAGATGGTCCGCACTTCTGAAATAATGTAGTAGGACGTTTCTCGCAGCAGCGCATGTATCAAAGAAACCTTTTCATGCTCCAATCAGCTACTTAGGATGATCCTATGTGGCTCACAAAGACTTACACTTGCAAAGACGTTTCGTCAGCTTGTCACCAAAAATCGCTGATCTCTGACCTGGGTTGTTGCAGGTTTCCCAGCAAAATGCGTCGCTCGGCGAAGCCCAGGGCTCGCGAGCCCCTACAATCCCCTACATCTTCTTCTTCGCAGAAGCCAACATGTCGCAGAGTGAGATCGGTTAGTCCAGCGAGGTTTGGAACTGCAGTGGAGTTTCTCCACCGGGGGTGGGCTTCAATGACGGCCGCTGATATCTAAAACTGGCACCGGAGAACTGGACGATATTTCTATGGTGCTTAGGAAGACCCGTGAGCAAAAGACTCAAGACTAGGCACACATGGTCGGGGTCACGTTGACTCCAGAAGATCCTCCGAACATGAGGCATGTCGAATGTGGGCAGCTGCGAAGGGTTAGTCAAACAGGCCATGAAGACTAGTAGAGGTGCGTGTTTCCGATCTGGACTGTTTTTGCGATTAGATGTAGTCGATACAGGACTTGCAGGTTAGGATGCTCCAAGACGCGGAGATGTACCGACTTGGTAGCTACTTGCACCACAGTCACTGGTGGCCCAGCTTGTAGCATGCTATTGACAACAGGTGTGCTTTACGTACACGGAGTGATGTGTCTGTCAGACCGGAAGATACAAGTAGTTAGGAAAATGACGATTCTCAAGATTGAAACCCATCAGTTTCAGCAGCACCAGTACTCGAAATATTGTCGGTGTTTGCACGAGGTGAGTGCTAACGTCGTCTGTCATGGTTATCGACTTGTCGTTCATTGTTTCGCCACTTTGAACTTAAGTCATTCTTTCCATGTTTTCTGGTGGGTGTCTGCGTTTATCATCGTCGCTGCCGTCGTTGTCGTCAGAGTCATTCTGGTCGTTATCCTCGTCGACGTTGTCATCGTGGTTTTAGAAGATGTGGTATCTAAGTAGTCGTCTTCAGGAGATGTGGTCATGGGCCATTCGCTCATCTGAGCATGGTGCAATACAGGCATTCAAGGTTCGCCAAGAAGTTGAGGTATTGAAGAACAAGTAGCAAATGAAGAACGGATATGTTCACCCATTGTAGCTGGCATTGATTGTCTCGACACCACGTTCAACGTGGAAGTGGATATCTAAGTCCTGCTATGTAGCAATTGGTTGTTGCCATGGCGGCTGCGTTGTTTCGTCAGCGGATGTGGAGCCGCAAGGCGTCTGGGTGACATGCCATGAGGCAGTTGCGAAGGGATACACCGAGCAGCTTTTGCAAGGGCAAGTCTGTGATCTTGTCAGGGTGCGCAGTTAATCGCTTCAATGTGGTTTCGACCGCTCTGCATTGATGTCGTCAGCCGAAGTATGAGCGGCGGTTCGCCAGTGTGGAAAGAGTGTGCCGAACATAGTTTTTCTGCTGCAAACCGGTCGCACCAGCTCACTAGCATGATGCCTTCAAACTGCAGGTGCTGGACTCAGACTTTGTCTACTACACCGGCCATCATGATTGATTCTGATCGCACGATTTCTCCGTCGAAGGCCGGGCGGGAAGCTGTACAAGGTTAGCAAAGACACCGCTTTCTGATGAATGCGCGTGCTTCTCGATCCGAGCGACTGTGGAGCTTGTCCAGGCTCCCCGGCACTTTGAGTTGGCAAGGACAGGTCTGCACTCTGCAGGACCTTTCTACTGTCCCAAAGGCTGGGCTGCAGACTGTTTTAAGGGCTAAGGAGTCTTGACCGCACGGGCACGGATTGAGAAGGTCAACTCGATACTTCGATGCATCGCCTTGCAGGAGCTGCCAGTCGCCTCTGTGGATGGGTCGAAGAAAAGCTGGCACTGCCTCCAAAGCCATCCTCCGCCTGGAAGCTCCGCGTGGCCAGAGCTGCTTCTGGGTAGCTTCACGCCTGTAAATGCAGCATGCAGCTAGCATGCAAGGAAATGCAACAGCCCGCGAGAGCTCGTCGTTTGGCGGAGTGTCAGGCTACTTTGGACCTAGACGGTGTCATCTCGTGCAAGATTCGGGAACGCAGGTCAGCTTGACTGCCTTCGATCCCGGGGTCTCACTACGAAGAAACTCTCTGTTTCTTAGCGGCTGTCATGACAAGGCCAGCTGTGGGGCTGCATAAGAAAGTGCCACGGTAGGGGCTGAAGCTGTCATGTTTTTGATCTTCTGCACCAGATCTTTGCGGATCTGACCCAAAACTTGCTTGGTGAATTAATCCGATCTCAGCAAGTTCTGATGTTATCACAGCAAGCGGCGGTCAAGTCTACGTGAGGCGTTGCCAGAGTTCAGGCGACCCACGCCGTGCACCTTTTTGGGTGCGCGCCAGGTCCACTCGGAGCCCATTGGTCGCAAGATGCTGGATCGTTTCGATTCGCCCAGCGCGCAAACGCTCGGCGCATGCTAAGTGAGTTTGTTGACAGCTGCAAGGCCTCCAATAGTTCCCTTTCGTCGTTCAGTCGTAGGAATTCATGGGCAATGCATACATCCAGTTTGCAGCCAGCCAATCGTCTGGCAACCTCAACGTGGCTTTGCTGCCGGCGTATAGACTAGTGTACAAGGCTCCCGTGTTCGTTTAACTGCGTTCTCGCATGAGCCAACCTACCATGATCAAGCCCGCTGTTTCCCCATGATCTTCTAAACGCTGGGAGGTCGTCACGGTCTTTACAGCATTCAGATGCCCAGACTCTGCAACAGCGTTCGGACTGCTTGCTGGATATTCACTGCAGTTGAGTACTCTGCACCGGCGGTCACGTGCTGTGCTCTTCCGTCAGGCTGAGTATATCCTGTCTCCTGCAGCCGACGAGAGTGGGTAGCCGAATTCCGGCTTTCGCCATCGTACGAAAGCATGCTTGTGCTGCAATCTGCGAGCCTCAAGGCCAAGTGCGTCTCTGTCACTGTCACCTGCAGTCGGTCATTGCCGAGCAGAAATCTCCCGAGGCAGCACATGCAGCATGGAGCCTTCGTTAGCCATCCCACTTGCCATGAGTCTGCTGCGAAGTCCTGGTGAATGGTGCGGCAGCTGTGAAGTTACAACGGCTAAGGTTTTCCAGTGCTTCTGAAAGCCCCTTGCACACAGACGGCGACAAATCCCATGATGGCTTGCTCATCCACAATTGTTGTTCTTTTGAATGCCTCCGCCCCTGAGGAACGTGGTGAAGCAAAGTACCCTGTTCCCGTGTTTTTATGGAAAATTTACGACCTTATAAACTCAGGGTGGATGAAAACTGGGGTCTGAATTCGTTGTTAAATATCGCGAGCTCGGGCTCCCAGCTCCATCTGCAGTCCGGCGCTTTGCATGCGCAGTCCAAAGCGTGTGCCTGGCAGCTTTCGCCGGTCCAAGACGACGAGCTTGCATACAGTGAGTCGAGTTGCATCTGTGGCGCTCGCACAGGTAAGGCCCATATTCAATTGAAGCCTCCGGTCTCTAAGTCCCCCATGCCCTCCTATCCCTCCTGTCATCCTCATGCGTCCGTACATCGCATGCCAAAATGTCCCAAAGAAGGCCGGCGCAAGAGTTCGTCCGAGCTTCCGCTTGCGATTCCCCTTTGTGCTGAGTTTGGGCCTTGTGACCTGGCGCTTGCCCAGGCCTTTCCGCGAGATCGGGTCGTTCTTTGGAGTGGTTGCCGCCAGCTGCAAAGGCCCGCTGCTGTTGGGACGTGATGGCCCAGCGAGGCCATACTCCACCTCCTTCGCGTGGTAATTGAATCGTGATCTCGTCACGCTGTGCCCGGGCCCGCCTGTTGACAGCGAGTCTGGCCTTGCAGCACAGCTTGCCGTGCTTCTTTCTTTTACGGGGGTCCTTCTCTTCGGGGCTTCGCGCCTCGTCTCAAGGCAGGCTAGCTCATTTTGGCTTCTGAGCAGGAGCCTTCCAGGGACCGTCAATCTTGAGACACGACTGCTTTGGTCCATGCCACCAGGCCTATCACTTTGAGGGGGCTTCCTGGTGCCCGCTTGGAGAGGACATTTCGGGCCCGTGACGGACCGACCAGCCCTGGTCTCGATGCGTCCTGACTCAGACCTCCCCCCATTCTTTCACAGGTAGTTTTCTGAAGTAGGGTCCAATTTTAGGGTCCTTTTTATATAAGGAAGAACTACCCTCATACTTGTCTAATCCATGCCATGCCCTCACTACCGCGGCAGCAGGGCTGCCCCGCGGCTACCACTTCCTTCCTTGTCGTGCCCAGCGATAGCCGCTGCTGCCACTTCGAGTTGAGCCCGAACCGCTGCTGCCGCCGGGGCCACGCATCTGTCCGGCCCCTTTCGGCTCTGAAGTTACAGATCTACTTCGAATAGTCCAAGAGACCAACTGTTGAGGCCGAGCTCGCGGAGTGCCAGTGCAGGTGTATTTCACTTTGGGATCTTTGGGCTGTGCCACGGATTCCGGGGTGAGAAGCGCTCAGGGCGACGAGCTCTACCGATACAGGTCAGCCAAGGCATCGCCAAGTGCGCCGATCTCTTCATCAGATTGCCAGAGCAGGATACCTCGGACTTCCCGAGGTGCGTGTGCTGTCTCCTCCACCTGCTACTTGCTTGGCCTTACTATTGCTTTCGCTCTTGTCACTGCCGAAGGGTCCAGCCCGTAGGACCATAGGACCCAACTAGCTCTCGCTTCGGGGCAGGTTGTCAGAATTTGTTTAGAAGTTGAAAGCCTGGCTCCGCGTTTACCTTCCTCGCCCTGCCTTCTTTGCTCCATGGGCGACGAGGTCTACGCAGACATACGCACGCTCCCGTATACTTCAGTGAGAGCAGCCGCACCCGCGGCAGCCAAAGCCCCACGCGCTCCGTCCGAGGCCGCCGAGGCCGATGCCAGGCTGCTGGAGACGCAGCAGGGCCCCCCGAGGCGCCGCCGTGCTGCCCCTCTAAGCTTTAATCGCCTTCTAAAGCACTCTCTCTTCTCTGCCCGGTCGCTTTCCCAAAGGCAAAGGCTACTAAGGCAAAAGGGAGGGCGCGAGGAAAGCGGCAACAAGGCCTTAACCACTCGCGCCTGCTGCTCGCATGCACCGAACACGGACTGCCCTCTGCTGCGAAGTCACGGGTCCTGCGTTCCGCCCAGATGGGCGGTGCGGCTTGCACTGGCCAAAGGGCTGTCGCAAGACTTGCCGGTTGAGTCACAGTAACCTCCTGCATTGCGCTTCTTGCATTTCTTGCATGCTTGCAGCGCTCGCGCTTCGGGTGTTTGCGGCCTTGCGATGCCAGCGACAGCCAAAGCCTGGCCTTGGCCAGCCGGCATCAGGCGGCCGAGCACAAGTTGCTTCAGGTATCTTCGTGATTCGTGAGCTTCCCACTCGGCTTGCCGCACATGCTTGTGCTTGAGCCTGCCCCGCGTCTCTACAAGCGCACACATAATGCTCGCTGGGCTGCAAAGGTTCAGGATTGGTAGCGTAGCATCACATGATGCTGCATAACGAGGGTTTGTCAAAGGCTTCGCTTCAGCCAGCAATGGCGGCGTTCTACGCTTCTAATTCTACATGCATCATGCGTCCACCAGGTCACGCTGTGTCGCGTGATTGCTTTCCCTTGCTCTTGATGTTTAGATTTGACAATACATGTGCCACATGCCATGCAGCCAGCCCTATTTTCAAGTAGAATGTCACCTCGCGAGCATCAAGGCTGAGCTGTTCGATGTGCAGCCTTGCTTGCACGTGTCGCGACCCATCAAGATTATACGCAATTTGAAAAGGGCGGCTTGTGGAGACATTTGAGTCAACACTCTTGCTACTTTTGACGTTGTTTTGCTGTTGCACGTCCTGGGTGGGACAAGTCCTAGCAACAACTGTCTGAGAAAGCTTCCGCTGCCGGCAGTAGTTTTCGGCTCAAAGCGTACTTCAACGAGCTATGGGATTGTTGCAAGCCAGTATTTGAATCGATTTCACGGCCAGCAGTTGCAGAGTGGACTGTTGGGGCAGTTGCTGATCTGACAGAGGGCACGAGCAACTGTCGTACGATGTCGTCAACGACACAGACGTGTCAGCAAGCTGCTTAACACAGCACTCTTTCGCATCATGGTTCCCATCCGAGCAGGGTGCGGCATTGCTCCGGATTTCACAGCGGAGGAGCGATATGTTCGGCATCAACGAGGTCTTTTTGCCCCTCGACCTGTGACCGTGCCGACCAGTTTGACCAATTTGGAATTCACCCATTCGCAGCTTTGAGAAGTTGATTTGTGGTGTATTGAGGCAAAGACAAGCCCCTCCCTGTCAGGTTGCGATGTTGCCCAGAACATTGACGGCAAGCAGCGCCGTCTCTGCTGCTTTGCGGTGTTGAGAGTCAGTGATTGCCTGTGGTTCGACATCAGTTCGTGGTTGATCCCCGTTACCTGTGGTTCGAAGAGCCCTTGGGGTTTTTGCTTGTGACGACCGCTTTCCGGGTTTGGCTGTTGGCCCTCTGCGGAAAGCTTGTTGTTTTTTTAAGAAGGTAGAAAGAGGGGAGGCAGCAGCATGGGAGTCTCGGGAGTGTTTGCAGAGCAGAGGTCAGTGGCGCCCAGCCATTGCTCCAGGGCAAAGCGCTGTTGCCAGCAGCTGCTCCACAGCCGGCACAGGCCCCACAAGATGAGAGTACTCGCGGATGCATGCGGCAGAGGGCATGTGTCCTGTGTCAGGCAGTCCTTCATCCCCAACAGCCAGCTCAATTGCAGGTGGGGTGCACGTGCTGCTGGTCATGTCACATGTGCAGGTGGCACGTGGCATGGCGCTGTTGGTAGTACTGAGACTGAGTTTCTATGAACAGAACACCTGCGAGAAAAGTGGTTCGTTCCATTCAAAAACGGTTCGTGGGCCGTAGGAACTGGTGCGTCCAGTGTACCTGTCAGTCAAGACCCACAGTCAGTCCTTATTCACATCATCAAGCTTTTTTTTGTGACTTTGATGGTAGATTTTCAGTTCAATTAGTAGACCTGGCATGTTTAGTAGGCAATGAACTGCAGACCACTTGACTTTTGTTTAACAGCGATCGGTATCTTCGGATGGAGAGTGCCAATCCAGGACGTGCAGCGGGACTTGCACAGTGTCGTGCGCAGCCTGCAGAGACAGGCATGTCATGCAGCAGCATGGCTGTTGCTTGTGGGGGCTTACCTTAACCTACCAAAACCTACATGTTTGTACGGTCCCTATAAATTTCATATTGGGGTTTATAAGCAGAACCTACAAAAAAGTCGGTTATGGTAGCTGAAGGTAGGTCTCATGGAGCAGGTGTCTACAAGACATGATTGTGCGAAGAACATGCTGTCACCTGCCGTCACTTTAGAAGATGCCTTTGCCGCGCTTTGCTTGCCAGGTCGATGAGCTTCAGGCTCACAGCTGCAGAGCTCCAAATACACAATGCGCAACTGTAGCTCAGCGGACGTCGTAGGCTCAACCCCAACAATCCAACCGACAGCCCATCAATGTCACAGTCGTTCGAACGTCAAGCAATGCTTGAACGACACGATTGTGCGCACCTGCAGTCTTCATGCTTCCAAGCCGCCTGAGCGTTCGCCGGCTGCGAAGAGGAAATGAGAGACTAGTGTGACTAGTGCGCTGGAGGACATGGTGCGCTCTCTGCAGCAACCTGCCAGCGAGGCTGCAGAGCGGTGGTGGATTCAAAAGTAGCCTTTCAAGGGGCAGAATATGAGAGAGCGAGAGGGAGAGCCTTGATGAATCCAAATTGTATAAAACATCTCATGAGCTAAAGACCCCACAGCCTCCATCTCTGTCCGCGGTTTCGGGTAAACGACTAAAGAGGACAGTCCTGAGTGTAAGAGATTTCGTTTGGTCAGTGTTTTTGAGGGTTTTTTCGTCAAAGTTGTCATACATGAACCACCGTTTCATGCCAACTCTCTTGGTGCCAGGCGCCAGACGCTATGTAGTGCGAGGGAGGGTGGGGAGGACAGCCACGTGACTAAGCCTGAGGCAAACAAGAGCCTCGATTGTTCGTGGATCGAGGGATCAAGATCCGACTGCGGAGCTGCCTCAAGAATCATTTGATAGTCGTCAGCCTGGCAGCAACCGCAAAAAGGCTTGGGATTGCAGTTGTAGATAGGAGAAGGTAGCACACCTTTTCGGAAATCTCATGGAAACCCTTGAACCGAGAGACTCGTGGGAATGAACAGAAGCTTCTTGCGGTGCTTCTATGGCTTCGTCAAGTTTCCGATTAAACCGCAGCCTTGTCGTCTTCAGGCGTTTATAGGTCTTGAGACTGGAGCCACCAGGCCCCCCCCACATGCCCTTGAAAACCCAGAGGCAATCGACAGATCGAGCTCCCAGGCCCGAGAGGCCTCCGATCATCTGCGCAGCAGATGCGTGCTTTTGTGGCGCAGTTGGGACCACGTTGGGACCCTTTTCGGTGCAGGCATCACCCTCAGCGACTTCACTCATGGTGGCTCGCACGCCTTCCGAAGAGGTCCGCCTGTCATGTTTCGCCTCGTGAAGAGAAAGCCAGTTCAAAACCTGCGTCGCCAAGGCACTCCTGCAAATGTATCGCCAGCGGCGGTCGGAGGAAAGCCCAGAGGCCCGCCTGCGTGCACCCTGGACAAGGGACAACGACTCTCAGAAGCGAAGCCGAGCGAAGCCGAGCGCAAGAGAAACACAGCCCGTTTTGGGCGCATCCGCAGCTTGGCTCGAGCCTCGAGCCGCTCGAGGAGCCCTGTTCCAGAGGAGGGGTCGGGACCTTGGCCTTGCTGAAGCGGAGCGGCCTTGGGGCGTAGGCCCTCGCCGTACTTGATCTCATCTCTTGTGACTGTGCGACAGTATCGGCTATGGAGTTGCGGGCTTGGCAGTGGAACACTGCGATCAAGAGCAGATGCAGAAGGATCTCGAGGGCTCGTCGTCGAACTTTCGTTGGGCTCGTCTTGTGGCCGGTATGTCTCACTCAAGCCCTCTGGTCTCAAGCATGTTGACGTGTTGGCCACATGGGCCAGATATCTAAGATCATGAAGCCATTGCAGACACATAAGTTGCGGCGTATGTCTGAGCAGAGATGTGGCAGGGAGCTTTAATTCGCAGTCTTCGTGCCATCGCTGGCACTGTTGAACGAAGGGGGTTCCGCCACACAGAAAGTCCTGAGCCGTTTTGCTGGTGTGGACAACTCTGTCGAACCGGCGGGAAAGTCGGAAAGTCTTCTCGATATCGAAGACGGTGTCATTCCTTGCCACATTGATCCCCCCAGGACATGGAAGGGCCTCACTTTGAGCCGCCGAGGAAGCGAGGCTGTGGAGCGGCCCTTTGAGTGGGTGTTAGTCATGTGGGTCGCTTCCAGGCGACTTCCTCAGTTCACGGCCCAGGCAGGGAGTCGACGGATAGACTGCGAGCTGCGAGCTGATGTCCGCAAGCCTCTGATCGTGTGCAGATTACATGGAAGCCGCTACGTTGATGCCCTTCCCGATGTCGATCAGCAGCTAGAGAACTCAATCGTGTCTCCCTCGGACAGCAGTTTTGAATTGCCATGCTTGTAGGCTGCTTCGGATAACATCTTGCTTTGTGTCGTCTGCCGCCTTTGGCAGTCCACGCATCAGATCGACTTAAAGCTCTCTTGGAGCAAGGTCATGGGCGATCTGGCTTGGGTCAAGGACCCCGCTGCCAGAATGGAGGTGTTACAACGCGCAGATCTGCCTGCCCTCTCATGGTAGGACTGCATCAAGAAGGGTGCAAACGTGAATTGTCGACTCGACGAGAAGGGCTTTACCCCTCTGATGCTGGCCTCAGAAGGCGCTCCTCACGGCTTTTTGGGATCTTTGGGAGCATCCCGAAGTCCCAAGGTGGCTGGGCAAACATCGTGAGATACCTGGTGGAGAACACCGATGTAGAAATGGATGCGGTGGATTCAGGAGGCCTTTTGCAGTTCGCTAAATGGGCCGTCCTTGAAATTCTAAGTTCTGCATAGCAACTTGGTACAGTAAGCGTTTCGGTTATGGTTGACTCAACACACAGCTTTCATGCAAGTGGTAGGCTACATGTTCACGAAATTGGCGGAAATTAGCCCGTACCCGGAGCAGGCTTCAATGCAGCGGACATTGCCGCACTCAACGGCTACCTTAGCTGGGAGGAGCGAGGATCCTTGGCAAACTGAGCGCGTGTGTTGTCTCTGGAACGTCAGGATTTAAGAGCTTTCTGAGCTGAAGGTGCTTCCTGCACTCAGGTAAGAATGCTGATGTCGCAGACATTGTCAACTATCTGAAGGTCCCCCCGTACCGTGCTCGTGTCTCATGACAACATCCGCATGGGGACACTGGTGCAGGACCGAGGCCTCGAGTACACTTGGAGGGGCGCTGTCATCGGTTCGCGCCCCAAAAGGGGGCAAAAAGGGCCCTCCACCCTAAACCCTAAACTCCGAGATCTCGTCGGAGCTCTTAGAGTGCCTCCCCTCCCCTGCCCTCCCTTCCCTTATGGGCCTTCCTTCCTTCTCTTCTTGCGGCCTTGGCCGCCGCTCCATGGAGGTGGCGACATCGATCGCATCAACGAGTTCCTGGAGAACGGCCAGGACATCGAGGAAAGAACGGGTCCGGGGCTCGGAGTGGAGCGCACTGGAAGGAGGCAAGGGACCCCCTTGCAAGACTCTCAAAAATATGCCCCTGGTGATCTTTTTGAGGTTACTACTGCGAGGGCAACCTGCCTCAATTCTGGTCAAGACGATTCCGAAATGCTTGAGTCGTCTCTCGTAGCCGCCCAGGCAACTATCAGTACACGGCCTTCCAAATGGCCATGAAGTTTGGACGCCAGAATGTTGCCCGCTACCTGCTGTGTGTGGTACTCATTTGGTTGCTGCAGAGAGCGTAAAGGATGCAGATGGGCTGTTTGGGGATGAGACCTTTTTCGTGAGGTCTCGGTGCTGTGATACCCAGAGACATTTGCGAGACGCAGATACCTTTCGAAAGTGAGCTCAGGGGTTTCACGTAGGGGAGCACAAGCTCTTGTAAGCAGTCTTCCGTACATGCTCAACTTCGTCAGCCTGGACTCTAAACTCTACACATCTCTAAACATCATCTCTGGACTTTGCTTTGCAGAGGCTGCAGTGATGTCGAGTTTTGTCTTGGGTGCAAAGCCTTCTGGCCAAAGTCCTCTGCCTGGTGCCGCAGTTCGTGCTTCCGTTATCGCTGGAGACAAAGACCGAGCCGATGAGCCGAGAGCGTTGGAAGGGGACTGAAGTGGGCAAGTATCATAGTGCCACCTGCTAGTGATGAAGTGATGCAGAGCAAGCTCGGAAAGCTCTTCCCGACGTGACAGCTCTTCGTTACCTTCAGGTAGAACGAGCACTCGAAGCTAGATTCGATCCCTGCAAGGTCCCATCTCGACCGCGTCAGCGTTCAAAGGAGAGCCGTGAGAGTCTGGGTCCAGAGGTGCCTGATGTGATCTCTCTCGACTATGACGTGTCGTGTTCCAGAGTCTTATAGCGAGTCAAGGTGCCGGCGCAAGAGAACCTGGTTGAACGCCGGCGGCAGGCTCGGTGCATCCTTCGAGACATGGTAGCAGCACCGTCTAGTCGTCTGCTTTTTGGCCTGTGTTTTGATTTGAGGATGTCTGCAACTTTTGTGGAGATGTTTCCTGCAGGCGCCAAAGCGGTCGTGGTCGCTGGGAACTTGTGGAGGCCAGGCTGCTGTCTTGCCACTGTGAAGTCCCATGTCTGCCGTGCGGGCCGTGCTATGTTGTCGTGACTTGCAAAAAGAGTCTTGCCCTCGGAGCCATCTGCAGGTCCAAACCTGTGGCAGGCAAGAGAGTGCTGCCTGCAGAGTCATCGAGAGCAGAGACTTCAGAAAAGACCCATACTCTCCCCCGCAGGTTCTTCAACACAGATTGGGACTGCATCAGTCACAGGACTGCCCGCCAGAGACATGTGATTATATATATATAATATTAAATAAATATAAATATAAATATA